ACCACGTTTTTGGGCCATGGAGTGGCCAGGAATCCGTGGATCTGAGTTTTTTGTGGTGCAGGCTGTGCCCCTGGGAATGATGTGTGATTTGATGGTGAGTTTGGGCTGATCTAGTGCAAAAAGCGTGAGGATCCATGAGGATCCGTGCTTCAAAACCACGTTTTTGGGCCATGGAGTGGCCAGGAATCCGTGGATCTGAGTTTTTGTGGTGCAGGCTGTGCCCCTGGGAATGATGTGTGATTTGATGGTGAGTTTGGGCTGATCTAGTGCAAAAAGCGTGAGGATCCATGAGGATCCGTGCTTCGGAACCACGTTTTTGGGCCATGGAGTGGCCAGGAAGCCGTGGATCCGAGTTTTTTGTGGTGCAGGCTGTGCCCCTGGAATGATGTGTGATTTGACGGTGAGTTTGGGGTGGCCCAATGCAAAAAGCGTGAGGATCCATGAGGATCCGTGCTTCGAAACCACGTTTTTGGGCCATGGGGTGGCCAGGAAGCCGTGGATCCGAGTTTTCTGTGGTGCAGGCTGTGCCCCTGGGAATGATGTGTGATTTGATGGTGAGTTTGGGCTGATCTAGTGCAAAAAGCGTGAGGATCCATGAGGATCCGTGCTTCGGAACCACGTTTTTGGGCCATGGAGTGGCCAGGAAGCCGTGGATCCGAGTTTTTTGTGGTGCAGGCTGTGCCTCTGGACATGATGTGTGATTTGAGGGTGAGTTTGGGGTGGCCCAATGCAAAAAGCGTGAGGATCCATGAGGATCCGTGCTTCAAAACCACGTTTTTGGGCCATGGGTGGCCAGGAAGCCGTGGATCCGAGTTTTTTGTGGTGCAGGCTGTGCCCCTGGGAATGATGTGTGATTTGATGGTGAGTTTGGGGTGGCCCAATGCAAAAAGCGTGAGGATCCATGAGGATCCGTGCTTCAAAACCACGTTTTTGGGCCTTGGAGTGGCCAGGAAGCCGTGGATCCGAGTTTTTTGTGGTGCAGGCTGTGCCCCTGGGACATGATGTGTGATTTGATGGTGAGTTTGGGCTGATCTAGTGCAAAAAGCGTGAGGATCCATGAGGATCCGTGCTTCGAAACCACGTTTTTGGGCCATGGAGTGGCCAGGAAGCCGTGGATCCGAGTTTTTTGTGGTGCAGGCTGTGCCCCTGGGAATGATGTGTGATTTGACGGTGAGTTTGGGTGGCCCAATGCAAAAAGCGTGAGGATCCATGAGGATCCGTGCTTCAAAACCACGTTTTTGGGCCATGGAGTGACCAGGAAGCCGTGGATCCGAGTTTTCTGTGGTGCAGGCTGTGCCCCTGGGAATGATGTGTGATTTGATGGTGAGTTTGGGCTGATCTAGTGCAAAAAGCGTGAGGATCCATGAGGATCCGTGCTTCGAAACCACGTTTTTGGGCCATGGAGTGGCCAGGAAGCCGTGGATCCGAGTTTTTTGTGGTGCAGGCTGTGCCTCTGGACATGATGTGTGATTTGAGGGTGAGTTTGGGGTGGCCCAATGCAAAAAGCGTGAGGATCCATGAGGATCCGTGCTTCAAAACCACGTTTTTGGGCCATGGGGTGGCCAGGAAGCCGTGGATCCGAGTTTTCTGTGGTGCAGGCTGTGCCCCTGGGAATGATGTGTGATTTGATGGTGAGTTTGGGGTGGCCCAATGCAAAAAGCGTGAGGATCCATGAGGATCCGTGCTTCAAAACCACGTTTTTGGGCCATGGAGTGGCCAGGAATCCGTGGATCTGAGTTTTTTGTGGTGCAGGCTGTGCCCCTGGGAATGATGTGTGATTTGATGGTGAGTTTGGGCTGATCTAGTGCAAAAAGCGTGAGGATCCATGAGGATCCGTGCTTCGGAACCACGTTTTTGGGCCATGGAGTGGCCAGGAAGCCGTGGATCCGAGTTTTTTGTGGTGCAGGCTGTGCCTCTGGACATGATGTGTGATTTGACGGTGAGTTTGGGGTGGCCCAATGCAAAAAGCGTGAGGATCCATGAGGATCCGTGCTTCGGAACCACGTTTTTGGGCCATGGGGTGGCCAGGAAGCCGTGGATCCGAGTTTTCTGTGGTGCAGGCTGTGCCCCTGGGAATGATGTGTGATTTGATGGTGAGTTTGGGCTGATCTAGTGCAAAAAGCGTGAGGATCCATGAGGATCCGTGCTTCAAAACCACGTTTTTGGGCCATGGAGTGGCCAGGAATCCGTGGATCCGAGTTTTTTGTGGTGCAGGCTGTGCCTCTGGACATGATGTGTGATTTGACGGTGAGTTTGGGGTGGCCCGATGCAAAAAGCGTGAGGATCCATGAGGATCCGTGCTTCGGAACCACGTTTTTGGGCCATGGAGTGGCCAGGAAGCTGTGGATCCGAGTTTTTTGTGGTGCAGGCTGTGCCCCTGGACATGATGTGTGATTTGACGGTGAGTTTGGGCTGATCTAGTGCAAAAAGCGTGAGGATCCATGAGGATCCGTGCTTCAAAACCACGTTTTTGGGCCTTGGATTGGCCAGGAAGCCGTGGATCCAAGTTTTTTTTGTGGTGCAGGCTGTGCCCCTGGGAATGATGTGTGATTTGACGGTGAGTTTGGGGTGGCCGAATGCAAAAAGCGTGAGGATCCATGAGGATCCGTGCTTCAAAACCACGTTTTTGGGCCATGGAGTGGCCAGGAAGCCGTGGATCCGAGTTTTCTGTGGTGCAGGCTGTGCCCCTGGACATGATGTGTTATTTGACGGTGAGTTTGGGGTGGCCCGATGCAAGAAGCATGAGGATCCATGAGGATCCGTGCTTCAAAACCACGAAACAAGGTTATAATTTGCTGATAAATTTATCACATGAAACAAGGTTATAATTTGCTGATAAATTTATTGTTAAGAATGCATTGTGTGGGAGATGCGGGGAAGTTCGATAGAAAGTTGAAATAAGTTGTTGAAGGGTTATGATTCTTTTTATCTTCTTTTTGTCTGTTTTCTTTGTTTCTTTTTCTTCTGTCTATGTTTGAAAAAATGCAATAAAAATCTTTTTAAAAAAACAAAACCACGTTTTTGGGCCACGGTATGGTCAGGAAGCCGTGGATCCGTGATTTTTGTGGTGCAGGCTGTGCCTCTGGACATGATGTGTGATTTGACGGTGAGTTTCGGGTGGCCCGATGCAAAAAGCGTGAGGATCCATGAGGATCTGTGGTTCGGAACCAAGTTTTTGGGCCACGGTTTCGCCAGGAAGTCGTGGATCTGTGATTTTTGTGGTGGATGCTGTGCCCATGGCCATGATGTTTGATCTGATGGTGTCTTTGGGCTGATCTAGTGCAAAAATCATGAGGATTCATGAGGATCCGTGCTTCGGAACCACGTTTTTGGGCCAGGGAGTGGCCAGGCAGGTGTGGATCCGAGTTTTTTGTGGTGTAGGCTGTGCCCCTTACTATGATATGTGATTTGACGGTGAGTTTGGGTTGGCCTGATAAAGAAAGCGTGTGGATCCATGAAGATCCGTTCTTGAAAACCACGTTTTTGGGCCACGGTTTCGCCAGGAAGCCGTGGATCCGTGATTTTTGTGGTGGATGCTGTGCCCATGGCCATGATCTTTGATCTGATGGTGACTTTGGGCTGATCTAGTGGAAAAATCATGAGGATCCATGAGGATCCGTGTTTTTTAACCATGTTTTTGCGCCCCTGCGCCCCCCGAAACAGTGGATGCGTGATTTTTTTGATGCTTTCTACAGAGTAAGACATGGTCTACAATATCATGGTGGTTTTATTTAATTTGAATGAAAAAATCATATGAATTCACGAGGATCCGTGTAGATCCGCCTTTTACCTTTTTCCAAACTGCATATTGCTGATTTGTTATAAGGTTTTTAAACTGCAGAGTAATTGAGCCGTCGGGTTTGAACAGTTGTTACATTCATTTCCCCTGCGGGACATTCCGATAGCTATTAAGAAAGCCTCTTTCCAAAAAATAAACCCGGCATCAGGCTTCCTTTTAAATGAACTTCAAATAAACGTGCAACTAATTTTTGTTTCGAAATTCCCCATGGCACTGAGAGAGCGGGTGTGTGCACATTTTTTTAAAAAAAAAAAAAACCTGGGCTGCCCTCCCATTTGGGGATGGAACTCCATTGTCCCCAAAGCAGCCCCCGCTTGGCCTGCGCTTTCCTCGCCGGCAGCCGGCGCCGCAGATGCCTCTTTGACGTCCTTTCTCCCGCGTGCGCGCCCAAGCCCCGCCCACCGGGGCGCACGCGCCGGAGCGCCGGCAATAGCCGGGTATTTAAGCAGCAGGGAGCGGAAATCCCTCCTCCTCCCCTTGGCGCCCTTCTAGCCCCTGCGCCAGCTTCCGGCTTCGCAGGTTCCTCGGGTCCTCGGTGGTGGTGGACGAGGCGGATGGCGGAGCAGGTAAACCGCTTCCCGCCGCGCTCTCCTCGCGCGCTCAGCTGAGCAACAGCCGCGCATCGGGACAAAAGGCGCCGGTCGTCGTCCCCCGTCTCTCGGCGCCGTCCCTTCCCGGTCCTCGCTTGTCAGGGACCTTCTCCGGTGGCGGGTAGCATCTCCCGCCGCGCTCTTTCTGCCCCGCACGATCCTCAGCTGTTTTCAGGAGAAGTGGACTGTACCGCGACGGATTGTACCGAGGCGCGGTTAACTTGAAGGGTTTGCTCTGGCATCCCTAGCCTGCTGCTATGTCATTTGTAAAAAACAAATAACACGTAATACAGTACAGGGATACCTCGGGTTACAGACGCTTCAGGTTACAGACTCCACTAACCCAGAAATAGTACCTCAGGTTAAGAACTTTGCTTCAGGATGAGAACAAAAATCGAGTGGCGGCGCAGCAGCAGGAGGCCCCATTAGCTAAATTGGTGCTTCAGGTTAAGAACAATTTCAGGTTAAGAACGGACCTCCGAAACGAATTAAGTACTTAACCCGAGGTACCACTGTATATGGGGTTTTGTCAATGTGTGTTAATCTCGGGACGAAATACAAATGGGTCTTTTCCGCCTGGGTAACCTGAGCTCTTTTCTCTCCCTTCAAAGCATATGCTGCTTACTGAGGAAGAACCGCAAAACTGTAAATTTGGAAGGAGCAGCCTGGACCGGCAGCTGAGGAACAGCAAGTGCCCTGCGCTGAATACAATGTTGCAACATTCAGATACAAATTGCGATGGCACGGAAAATGCAGGTGCGTTGGAGGAGGCAGAGGATTTTATTCCCAGAAACAGAAATGTGTTGGGAGCAGCATTCTGCCCTCAGGAATTGCGAGAGGAGACCCCTGGAAGAGAAGAGACTCGTACTGACCCACCTGATGGCCAGCAAGACCCAGAAAGTGAGAAGGGCAAAGAGAAAACCTTAGGTATACGACAGTGCTGAACCAGGATAAATAATTGAACATTGACTTTTGAAGTTAGGTTGTCCAGCATTGAAAAAATAGAACACTTGTTTACATTTCTTGATAACATACTTAGCAAAGCAATCGAAAGAGGGGCTAAGGTCGTGTGAACCAGTGGATCCTCTGCTATAGCCCTGCCAGTTAGGACTGAAGAAGATGTGTATGTGGGGAGAGGGAGTCTTTGTTGTGGCAGCTCTAGTCTGGTGCAGGAGACATGCTCAGATCAGGCCCTTCTCTAATAAAATGACTGGCTTAGGATCAGGTGGATACATCCCTGTCCCTGATCTATCCCCTGTTTTGGAACCCTATGGTAGTTTGTATCAGCAATAGCTTTTCAACATCCTGTGCTTTTGGTAGTCACAGTGGAGGCCTCTGTGCTAGTGGAGTACCCCCCCCCCCTGAGCAGAACCTGGCAGATAGAGACTTCCACTCAAGCCTAACTCCCTCTCACTGTTCTGATCACGGGATTAGGACACCCAACAGAAGGTTCTTCTGCTGCCTTGTTCTTTGCTCCCCCCCCCTTTGCTTTATCAAATCTAATTTTAGAAAACGATGAGACATTCTGATAACTGGAGAATAAAGCTATGTTCTACCTTCAGTGTTGGAGGTAGTATGCTGGGAATCAGAAGTGGGGAAATCGCCCTTGTAGTCAAGTCCTGCTTGCGGGCTTCCCATAGGCCTCTGGTTCGCAATGTGAGAATAGGATCCTGGTCCAGATATGCCTTTTGCCTGATACAGCAAGGCTCTTCTTATGTTTTTTTTTATGGTACTTTGAAGAATGCCTTGCTCTGTTTCATCACTTTGTCTTTGAAGTAGAGATCCTAAGAAATGTCCAGTATTCCTACTGTATCAAACTTCTTAGGTCCTTTTTCAGTAATCTGGCCTTGTATTGTACCAAAGTTCTTGTTGCTTTTTTTGTTGATAATTGCCTAATACTTTGCATTTTCTAGGTATAATTATAAATGTTCCATTTTCTACTATCAACTTATGTTACTCAGAGCACAAAATGTTCTGGTAATACTTCTGAAATACTTTTCTTCTTGGTCTGTAGGGAAAGAAGTACTCTTATTGATGCAAGCTTTAAATACTCTTGCTACTCCAGAAGAAAAGTTGGCTGCACTCTGCAAGAAATATGCTGATCTGGTAATTATGTACTACAATTAAAGTCACATGCTTTCTCTGTAGTTGCAAATTAACTTTGTAAACATGCCTAGGTATCTTAGCATTGGAGTTTCATTCCTTTGAATGTTCCTACAACCAATAGAAACAGATTGAAATGTCAAATGTCAAGAACAATTAAACATCTTAATGTTGTTATTTGCACCGTTTCTATTCTGCTTAATATCACCCTGATTAAAGCTTATTATAACGGGATCATGGAAAAAATATTTTTTTATGTATGTTATTTGGCACTGTCCTCTCAAAAGTGCGGGAACTTTTTAAGCTCCTGGTTGCATGTTAAGACATTATTTGGTTTTGATAAAGGTGAGGAAGCAGAACTATACTTTCTGTTGCCCCTATTGCTGCTTCATTCAAAGACTCTCTAATTCAGGGGTGGGAAACCTGTGACTCAGAAGCAATTTAGTGCAGCAGCAACTGGACAGTCATAGGTTCCACATCCAAGCTGTAATTGGAATATGTATAAATACAGAGGAAATGGTATTTACATGTGCTTTGGCTAGGTGTTTTTAGTCAAGACACCAGCTATCATTCAGCTGTATTGTTGACTGCAAGATTGCCTGTTCCCCCTCGCATGCACAATGGATAATTCTTCGAGAAAAGAGTATGCAATTTCTGTTTATGTGGGATCATGCCCCTAGTTCCTGGGTTATATCCAACATGTCCACGTGACAGCAGACTGGACTTCTACTTATGCAACAGGTCTTCTCCGTCTTCTCCTTCCCCCTGCACACACCCCAGATCTGCTGTGTATTCAATTCAGAAAATGTTTAGAATGTAACAAATCTTGAGTAAAGAATTCTATAGATGAAGGTCAACATATGAGAGGTTTTCTATGTGCACTTATTGTCTTGTCAGACAAAAAGTTCTAAAAGATTTGCTGAGAAATTTGCCTTAAGTCATGGAAGGACAATGTGGAAAGAAGAAAGAATTGTGGATTCCAAAGTCACAAGATTCTAAAAGAAACTAGCATTGTGAATCCTGTTCTGAAGCTAGTTCAGAAGTAAAGAGGAATATTGGTTATAGGTGTATGCATTGTGTGGTGGCTGAGTTGATGGGGGTAAGGACACCTGGCCATCACCATAGTCCAAGCTTCCAGTTATACTACAAGGGTAGCAAAGATTGCAAACTAAAATAACTGGGAGGTGTTGACCCTCTTCTTTAAAATACAGTCATACCTCATGTTAGGTTTGTTTCGTGTTACGTTCTTTCAGGTTCCTTCCCGCGGCGACCCAGAAGTACCAGAAAGGGTTACTTCCGGGTTTCGCCACTCACGCATGCGCACAAGCACCAAATTGCGCTACGCAGATACGGCGCTTCAGGTTGCGCTCTTTTCATGTTGTGAATGGGCCTCCGGAACGGGTCCCGTTCACAACCAGAGGTACCACTGTAGATCTCTCCAGTCTGGATAAGAGGCCCTAGCAGTCCTCAATCTTACCTGGATTTGATTATGCTCATTTATAATGAAATGAAACATAATCCAAGTGAATAGCTCAGTTGGTTAGTGTTTGGTGCTGATAACTCCAAGGTTGCAGGTTTGATCCCCATATGGGACAGTTGCATATTCCTGCATTGCAGGGAGTTGGACTAGATGATCCTCAGGCTCCCTTCAATTTCTACAATTTTATGATTCTGTAGCAAGTTGTGAGGTTCTGGTTCTGTTGGCTTATGGCCTATTTATCTGATTGATTAAAAACAAATGCAATCGGTTGGAGACTGTAGCTACAGAAAACCACTTCAGTTCTAAAGGGTAATGGCAAGGAATAGGTTGGTGGGTTTTTTAACCTCTTCTTCTTTTTCTCATTTAGTTGGAGGAGAGCCGAAATGTTCAAAGGCAAATGAAGATGTTGCAGAAGAAACAAGCACAGGTTGTGAAAGAGAAGGTCCACTTGCAGAGTGAGCACAGCAAGGCCATTCTAGCACGCAGCAAACTGGAATCTCTCTGTCGTGAGCTTCAACGCCATAATAAAACTTTAAAGGTCAGTTTGATAAGATAGTACATGAAGCAGATTCTGAGAGCAATATGATTTTCTAAAAATAGGGTGGCTGCTGGAATATATAAACAATAGTATAGCAAAATGGAAAACAATTGGGAGTGGATGGAAACACAGTCTATTGAGCACCAGTTTAGTTTATTCCTTGATGCTATGTTATAGCAAAGATGCTTGATCCTCTAGAAGTTGACTGCTGGTTATCCCCTGGAAATGTGTCTCTGAACAAGGTTGTTAATTCATTTTACACTGGGACCCAGGGATAAGAGGCTAGAAAGCAGGTGGGCTTCTCTCAATTTGTGTCCAGCTCTAAACCCATATTGGATGCAATGAATTATTGCAAGTACAGTGGGACAAGGATGTAGTAGTAAGAGCACTTGAGATGATTAAGCAGCATACAGAAGGGTGGTATGGGGTATAGTCATGCCAAAGGCAAGGTGGTTCTTTTATAATGAGATTCAGAAGCAATACAAAATACACAAGTGAGTGAGAAGATTTAAAGATTTTATTCCAAAACAGCAAGCAATATATACATACCAAGCAAGCACTTCAACCTGCCACTTGGAAGCCTTCAAGAAGCGGCTTCAAGAAGCGGCAAAGCGACTCCCCCAGGTAGCCTCAGTCTGCACGGCCCTGCAGCCGATCAGTCCATGCACGAGCTTCAAAAAAAACCTGCCCAAACTGGCTTCCAAGACTGGTTACGTGCAGATCATCCATTAGCCACCCCCTCCCAATGCTTCACTTTCTCAAAACAATGTCAAACATCAAAGAAGGTATCCAGCACTATCCTCCACAACTGAGGAAGGCAGCTGTGTGGGGGGGTTCACCTCCTCCCAACATTCTCAGGATATTAAAGACTGTTCTCACATCATCAAAAAACTTAACAAGAGCGAAGGGGGGGGGAATGCCCACCCCTCCCTCCCTGTTCCCAGCTCTGGAAATCAGTTTTTGACTCTCCCTGACACTCCCTAGCATCCTTTGGGGAGATTAGTTCTCTAAGTAACAAAGAAGCCTCAGCCCCATTTAAGGAGATCTGCTGGTGCCTCCTGCTGCATTACAAAGTCTAGTCTGTGTGATGCAGTATCCCATAGAGTCCTAGCAAATTGCACATTGGGGAAAGGCCATTACTAGTTGTAAAGCACATCGTTGCATGCAGAAGGTCCCAGGTTCAACCCCCCTCTGCCAGAGGACTCACTGCTACTGGTTTAGATGGGCCAGTGGACTCAGTATAAGGAAGTTTCTTAAGTTCTTGTGCTCTGATCAAGTGGGGGAGGAGATGGGGGGGCAAGGCAATACTGTTCTCTTCCTAGCTCCTGTGGAGATAGCATCACTCCAAGTGTGAATTGTATCCTTCCCTTATTCCATCCTGAAGTTAAAGCTATGATACTGTTAGCACTTTGGGATGTAGCTGTAGTGACGTGCAACTGTTCTGGAAAAAACAACCTGATTCTTCAGTTAGATCAGCCCTTAATTCATGGAAATGTGCTACTACTCGCTTTTGTTGATGGTTGAAGTTAAGTAGGGGGGGAGGCAGGCGGGAAAAGCCCCCAAGAGCCGCACACAAGCTCCGTGCGCTCTTGCGGGCTTTTCCACAGGAGGGAGAAGGGACTGACTGGCCGCATCAGTCCCTTCTCCCACGTCCCAGGAAAGCCAGAAGAAGCCCTGCAGCCCTTTTAAAGTGCGCGCGGCTTCTGCCGGTTTTGCGGGAGGTGGGGGAATTCCCCCACCTCCCAGAAAAGCCAGGAGAAGCCGCACAGCCCCTTTAAAGAGCTCACGGCTTCTGCGGGCTTTTGCGAGAGGTGAGGGAATCCCCCCACCTCCCAGGAAAGCCAGAAGAAGCCGTGCAGCCCTTTTAAAGTGCGCGCGGCTTCTGCCGGTTTTGCGGGAGGTGGGGGAATTCCCCCACCTCCCAGAAAAGCCAGGAAAGCCCTGCGCAGCGTCTCCCGGCAAGGAGAGGCTGCGCGGGGCTAAAGGGGAAGGCAAAACAGCGAGCGGGATCCTTCCTTCTCGCTGCCTTGCCTTCTTCCATAGCTGCGCGCAACCCCTCCGCAAGGAGACGCTGCGCGCGGCTAAAGGGGAAGGCAAAACAGCGAGCGGGATCCATCCCGCTCGCTGCCTTGCCTTCTTCCATAGCTGCGCGCAACCCCTCCGCAAGGAGACGCTGCGCGCGGCTAAAGGGGAAGGCAAAACAGAGCGGGATCCATCCCGCTCGCTGCCTTGCCTTCTTCCATAGCTGCGCGCAACCCCTCCGCAAGGAGACGCTGCACGCGGCTAAAGGGGAAGGCAAAACAGCGAGCGGGATCCATCCCGCTCGCTGCCTTGCCTTCTTCCATAGCTGCGCGCAACCCCTCCGCAAGGAGACGCTGCGCGCGGCTAAAGGGGAAGGCAAAACAGCGAGCGGGATCCATCCCGCTCGCTGCCTTGCCTTCTTCCATAGCTGCGCGCAACCCCCGCAAGGAGAGGCTGCACGGGGCTATGGCTTCTTTAGCCCTGCGCAGCGTCTCTCGGCAAGGAGAGGCTGCATGGGGCTAAAGGGGAAGCCAAAACTTGGCTTGCTCCATAGCTGCGCGCAACCCCTCTGGCAGGGAGAGGTTGTGCGCACCCTGTACACTGCTCTTTGGGGCTGGGGGGGAAAAAGATTTTTTCTTGATTTCCCCCCCTAAAAACTGGGTGCGCCCTATGGTCCGGTGCGCCCTATGGTGCGAAAAATACGGTAGAAGTAAAAATTAGGGTGTCCTACTAGACCTCTCAGTCACAAAGTTTGACCAGCCTGGTTCTAGATAAAAGAGTTATTTGCCTACTGTGCGCTTGTACTTCAGTGGAGGCAGGAGCCTGTCTGCATATTTAAGGCAGGAGCAAGAATAGCAAGTTGGACCTCATGCTGGGTGTTGGTGTAGATCTTGTGGTGACTATTGATTCTCATGAGGCAGAGGGGTGGAAGCACAACGGCAAAGGCCCTGCTGTGGAAAACAATTGATAGCTCCTTGTTCCCCCAAAATATAGACTTGCTTGCTTCAGTAGAAGCCAGCCTATTTTGCAAATGAAGTGACAATAACTGTCTAGTGCTAGTAGCTCCTGGTACGTGGAAAATAATTCATTTATAAGCTGCTTTCTTTTGCTGATTCAAGCTCATAGCCACCATTTCTTCTCAAGAGGTATAACTTAATAATTGTGCCTCAGCAACAAAACCTACTGAGAAGCTTCTATATACTGGTTGGAGAGCAAAACTGTGCATGTTCATGTGTCTTATAGGCAAATTATTCCAGAGAAGTGGAAGCTAGCATCCATTCCATGGGACTAAACCATTAAGATGACATTGGCCTGATTTTTTTTTTATTGTTGTCCAAAATAATTAGTAAAAACATGTTGCTTTAATCTCTCTTGGTAAAAGGAAGAGAACATGCAACAAGCCCGTGAAGAGGAAGAGAGACGTAAAGAAGCAACTGCCCACTTCCAGATCACACTAAATGAAATTCAGGCACAGCTGGAACAGCATGGCATACACAATGCAAAGCTTCGCCAGGAAAATATTGAATTAGGAGAGAAATTGAAGAAACTTGTAGAACAATATACACTGCGAGAAGAAGTAAGTGGATTTATTAGTCCTTCGCTGTTTTAGACATTGCTTTGTTATTCAGTAGCATTCCATTTTGGAATATTACAGGTTGATGATAAATTATCTCACATGAACATATTTACTCTTAGGTTTGAATGTGATGCAGTGGCTTCTGACTGCAGGAAATGCATTTGACAAAGTAATTAATAATCAAAGGTCACACGTAGAAAGAAGGAGACATCATTTAAAGCTTTTTTTTATTTTATAAATCATATTTATTAAAGTTTCCAAAATACAAAAAGTAAATATAAAACAAAAATGAAATACCTTTAAAACCTTATTTTCATTACCCACTTTCTGGGACTCCCCCCTCCCCCATCCCTACCATATTCCCCTTTCATAACGTTGATTCTACAAGCTCTCACTCCCAATTTAGAACTTAATTTGTTTAACCCCATATTCAAATTTAATTTTATACAGTCATCATCATTGCCTTAAATAAAGATCAAAAATTCTCTCCCCAGGGTCCACCCCATTTTCCTTCCACGAATTCCCTTTTTTTAATAGAAACGCCCCAACAAAATATAAAAAACTATATAAAGATAAAAAAGATAAAGTGTATATAAAAAAAAAGTTCAGAAAATAGTTACACAGCCTTTGGATTCTAAATCTCCCCCCCCTCTTCCCCGGTTTAGATTCCCCATGTCCATCAGTCTGTCTGTTGTCTGCCTGAAGATCTTGGATCCATAATCAGATTTTCCCTCAATTCCTTGCCAGTTTTTTTTTAAAGTTATTTTTATAATATTTAATTTCAAATTTCCAGTCCAAAAACGGCCCCTAAGGGCCTTTAATTTCTTTAGTCATTTAAAGCTCCCCCATTGTTCTTTCCATGTTGTAGTCCAGTTTCTTGTCTTGTTCCGTTGCTAAAACTTCCTAATTCAGAAATTTAGTAGCTCTACAGGAGTTGTTGTTGTTCAGGAACAAAAACTTACGTTCAGTCCCTTCCTTTCTTCAATAGAAAAGTTCTATTGTCTCCTTTAATGTAAACACCCCTGTAGACAAAATACTAATTCAGTTTTGCAGCTTTCCCAAGAGATAACAAGTCCTGTAAAATTCCAAGAGTATTTTTCCACTTGCGACCATCTTTGTAATGTCCCGAAACCCCTCTAGGGGGATTATGGTAACTTTGTTTCCTCTAATCCAAAGGTCCGATTGTTGTTCCATATTTTCGACATTTTATATCCAAATCATGGCAAATTGTAACGAAATTAACTAGCAAAGCCCTCGTAACAAAGTCCTCTTTAAGTTTTCCGACTTTGACAGCTACTTTGACAGCTGTCAAGGCCTCCGTCTCTTTTCACCAGGCTCTCTCTCGAATCGCCCCGGTTCCCGGGGGGGGGGTTACATTTTCCTTCTCCCTCCACTCTTCTCCTCCAGCACAGTTCTTGTAGTTTTCCATCGTGGAATTCTCAATTTTTGTCCGAAATAGGCTTCTTTCTGGACCTTGGTTACTCAGTCCTTGTTTTAAAGTGTTTACAGTAGGGAGGGGGACTGACTTCCTTTTTTGGGTCCCCCCCCCCCGCTCGTGCCAAATCCGAAAAAAAATTCTTTTTTTCTCCTTTTAAACCCAGTTTCCAAATTACTCACGGGTTGTTGTTAAAAGTCCGAATTTTCAATGGAAGAAGTCAGCGCTCTCCGCCGGATGGCATGCGGCTTCGCTCGGCAGGGAAAGCAGAGGACTCAAAGCACCACGCCGCTCCCCGGCACCCGATCCGTAGCCTTTAAAAAGGCTCCTTCACGAGTCGGGAGGGCGCTATCGGTGCCAGCCGAGTCACCCATGTCCACGGCCTCCGTGGCCGTGGTTTTTGAGGGTCCCCGCGTCGCCGGCGCGGTAGGACCCAGCCCCTGCCGAGCAGGCTCCCTCCGGAGCTCGGAGGGAGTCCGCCATTCGGCGATGGCGCCAACCCGGAAGTCTTGACTTCATAAGATGCAGTACTTTCACACTATAAAGAAATACAGAAAGGAATACAAATTCTACTTACCTCAACTTAGGAGCAAATGTTTGATCTATACAATGTTTCTGTATAGTCATGTGGGGAACCTGTGGTCCTCCACCTGTGCTCTTGACTTTATAATCCCTGTCCATTGGTCATGCTGACTGGGGCTGATGAGAGTTGCAGTCCATCAATAATCTGGAAGGCCACAGGTTCTGGCTCTTTCAGACACTCTGGGTTGTATCCAGAGTTGCCTTTCAATGAATGGAATAGTTCCTTCAATTTACAGAGAGGGCAGAGCTCCAGTGAAGGCTCTGCTGAAGAAACAAGGAGGGCCATTATTTCCACTGACTCCACCCGCAGCACCCCATGTCATCTCTTACTCTGTGATGGAGGGTCCATTACCCTGCCCTCCAGTCAGATTTTCAGCAGGTATCAGGGGAAGAAAGAATTCACAAATGTTGCTTTCTTCCATAGTATTGTCCCATGTTTTGCTCGGTGCAGCTCTAAATCAAACCCTCTCTTGTTGTCCTGCCCTTCCTCCTGGAAGCAAGGGTAAATTGGTAAACATGGTAAATTGGGTTGAGAGAAAGTACCAGTCCAAGAGTTACCTTAAGAGTGAACACATACAGATGTTCTCCATTTTACATTTTAAAAATGCTCTTGCATTCGTTCGGGGATCCATAAGACACTCTTATTGAAATTCCACAGTGTTTAAATTGCACCAGTTAACTAAATAGAAACTCTGAATGGCATTATTATTATTATTATTATTATTATTATTATTATTTTCATTACCACCCTCTCCAAACTTCAGTTACTGCTTGTTCTATTTAGTATTGAACAATCCACTGTATAGTGTGTCTTACAGAGTTAATGCTGCTAAACAATACTGTTTGAAATCAGCTTCTGGTTATCTACGTTTCATCTTGATGGCTGTACTTCTCAGTCTTTGATCCTGCTCCTTAATAAAATAAAAAAGCCTCTACTATAAGTCAAGCTGTTAAACATTTCCTCAAGCCTGCTTCTGCTTGCTTGTTTTTGAAGTGCCGCAGATTACTATATTCTGTGTTAGAATCAGAATTTATGTTTGTGGGGTGTATGTGCAGCACCTGTTGCTTAATGGTGTAATCCTGTGCATGTTTACTCAGAAGTAAGCCTACTCTGTTAAGCGGGGTTACTAAGTGTGCATAGGATTACACCCTGCATGTGTTTTGTCAGTCATACGTTGGTGGTGGTCACTTCGATTTCAAGGGTTTTATGATGGTGTCGAAACTGCTAGCAGGTGTTTTCCAGGTTAAGCATGGCATTCCGTATGTGGTGGTGGCCAGTTAGTTAAACCAGGTAAGAGCCATCATGAACATGAGGGTAACTTTAAAGTTAAAAATAAAAAAAGTCTGAAATGAAAATTCAGTTTTGAATCTTTTGATAAGGTTTACTATTGATGGTACCAACATTCATGCTTTCTTCTAGCACATGGACAAAGTCCTCAAGCATAAAGAACTGCAACAGCAGCTGGTGGATGCCAAGCTTCAGCAGACAACTCAGCTAATAAAAGAAGCAGAAGAGAAGCATCAGAGAGAGAGGGAGTTTGTAAGTATTTCTGATTGCAAGAAAAGTATTTGGATATGCCTGAATTTTCCCTCTGGTAGTAACTTGGTACAGTAATGCATTTTAGGCCTGAAACTATAACTAGAACAAATGGTAAACTGCTCCATTTGAATGTTCTGTCTCGTGCTTACTGTATGTTAGCAAACTTATCAGTAATCTGTATAGGTCATAAGTCCTCTAGAATGGGCAGTTTGGCAACTTCTGCACAGTTCACTGGCATGGAGTAAACCTTAAACCTTAAAAAGCTTCCCTATGCAGGGCTGCCTTCAGATGTTTCCTAAATGTTATATAATTACTCATCTCCTTAACATCTGATGGGAGGGCATTCCACAGGGTGGGCACCACTACCGAGAAGGCCCTCTGCCTAGTTCCCTGTAGCTTCACTTCTTGCAGTGTGGGAACTGCCAGAAGGCCCTCGGTGCTGGATCTCTCCGGGCTGAACGATGGAGGTGGAGATGCTCTTTCAGGTGTACATATATATGCAGCTTTGTTATTTGCTGGTACCACTGTAATGCATTTCTACATGCCATTATTTTTTCTTCTGCTCGGAAGAAATACAGATGTGTTAATTTTTGATGGCTGGGATGTCTAGCAGTTTTATGAGAGCATTTTAAAAAACCTGCTACAAGAAAATCTTTAGATTAACATATTTATAATTCTATAAATTCAAAATATTTTGATATTCTGTAGTTACTCAACAAAAGCTGTGTATTTTTAGCGAACAATTAAAGTATGTTGCGGAACACCCTATCATCACATTGCGTGATCCATGGTGCATTAAATTCTTCAGTGCACTTAAACTCAGAACATGTTTCCAGTGATGTTCATCCAAAACAAAACCTTTGCCTTTGCAGAGAAAAATCTGCAGTAGTGTTGTAGAATCTCCAGTAGTTAGGATATAGTAACCAGTGATACTATATCCTATAATAGGAGTGGAAATCTCCACTAGTGTTAATAGGAACTGCTAAACAAAACCAAATACAGTAAGACTGGCTAAATATGTTCATATTTTTGAATTTATTTGTAAATTTGTCTCTCTTTAGTTTTTCATGTATCACCACTTTAATTGACCTTAAGAAAACAAAGACATTTGTTCTAATTGACTTTGAAAAAATGGCTCTAAATTTGAATGCAGGCAGGTAAGTTTCTTCATCTTCTGCCAATAAATAACTTTGTTTAAAATCTCTTACATAAAATAGGAAGAATAAAGGCTTAGCAAAATGTAGATGATGTGCTTTCTTTGGTATAAAGGTAATGTAGAGACAATACAATTTTTCTTCCTCTTCAGCTGCTAAAAGAGGCTACTGAGTCTAGACACAAGTGTGAACAGATGAAACAGCAAGAAGCTCAATTAAAACAGCAGGTAAACTAATTTAAACATTTGCTGCATTAAGGATGTTAATCACTTAGTTACAAACTTGGTTGAGAAAATTATTTGTTCTCTTAGAATTTCTAAAACATTTCCAGAAACTAGCAAATCAGTGAAACAAGTTGGAAACCCACAAGAAGCCCCTGGGAAAGGGAAGATAAAACAGTTGGGAAATTCCACCCCCCTTGGAAGATTGGTGAACTATTGAGATAATGAGTAGCTTCCTGTTCACCTAACCCCTTAAATCTGTTCTGGTGTTCCCCTCAACTTTTCCGGCTAGATTTGGGGAGGGGCACATGAGAGGAGAGGGAGTAGTTCTGTTGCACAAGGGGAAATCCTTGCACTAGCTTGAGCCCATTATTATTGTTATTGTTAGAAAACAGTATATTAACTCATTTCTTGTTCTGATGGTGCTGGGTACGTTTTGGCTGGTCTCTGGCAAATTCACAGGACTATTATTTTTCCCCAAGGTGGCTGTTTTTGGGCCATAATGCAGGTACTTGTGAAACCATTCTTGTGAGTGGGTTTATCACTTTAAGTGGCTGCTCTTATGTCATGCTAGGTAAGTCTCAAAAATCAGACTTTCCTAGTGTATGATGATCCCACTAACAAGAATAGATTTTAATATGAACCTCCACTGCATGATGCCACATGGAAAAGTTCTACCTTGTGGCAAAAAGTTCTAATGCCTTGGTTCTTGGTTTGGTAGTGCCCTGCCTAAATCTAAATGCTGCTGGATTTACTTCGTTTTTCCAATGCTTACTAATAGTGCATGGGAAAGTACCCCTGAGAAACTCAGTGCTGAAACAAATTGCATACTAACCTATAATATTGGCAATGACTTAACAATATTAAAACCATTTTTTTTTTGCACCCAGTGGCTTGGCTTTTTTGTTCTATGCCTTATTCTGCAGCTTAAAGTAAAAGAGATATTGTTCAATAGTGGCACAAATAAGCAGTTCAATTGGGAATTTAGTTTCTAGAATGATTTTGGCAAAAACATGTCTTGTGTGGTGTCCTGAAAGGTTTGTGATGGATTTACATGTCACGTTTTGTGGAGGACTGATGAGATATGTTCACCCATGACAGCTCACGAACTTGTTATTCCTGTAGTACCTTCCCTTCCACCTCAAGTTTTGCGTCATTATTGCATACTATGCAAATAAAAGAATTTGTAGTACTTTAAGATGGGTTAGGTAGCCTACAGTGCAATCCTACACATGTCTACTCAGGAGAAAGCACCATTAAGTTCAGTGCAACTTTCTCCCAGGTACCTGTGTGTAGCATTGCATCCTTAATCTCTTGGTTCTAAGAGAGGAGTGGGAGAACAAATGGCTAGTTTGCAAGATTTTACCTAGGGCATGTGCATAGGTGGTGGTTGAGTTTAATACTTGAGTGAATAGACCTTAGATAAAAGTTCTTTGGGGGGGATGGGCTCAAAGCAGTTCACTTCAGTGGGACTACTCATGAGTAGGACTTAGTTGACTACAACCCAGCAAAACAAAGAATCATTTATTCTCATTATTTTTAACTCCTTTAGCATGCTGTTCTGCTTTGAAAGCCACCTCATCCTTAGGTAATTGTCACATAAGTGAAGTTCAGTCTTTTGAAATCACATATTTCACTGTTTACCAAATAGTGGAATTTCCAGTGTGTGGCTACTGCATTTTATGTGTAACTCTAAATACTGCACATGTATAGAGGACTTAAGCATTGTCTCCTTCAGCTTTCTCTCTACATGGATAAATTTGAAGAATTCCAGACAACAATGGCAAAGAGCAACGAACTTTTCACAACATTCAGGCAAGAGATGGAAAAGGTACTTTATTTACATGTATTATTTTTTGATCTGCCTCATTCATTCATCTACAGTGGGGAGATCGTAGTAAGACTGCAGCCTTTTCAGTGGAGGCTGGTCCATGAGGGTGAATGGGACAGTGCCCCACCAACCTTACTCTCCCCTTATCCAGCTCCCAGCTACCTGCCTGCCTCCAAGGTTGGCATTTCCTGTCAGAGTCCTCCACCTTAGCCTCGGTTTTGCCCTCCTGGAATGCAGCAGGGAGGTGGACAGACACAAAACTAGAATGAGTTGGTTCCACCTGCCATAGACTCTTGCTGCGGTCCGCCCTCCCAGTCCCAGTGGCCGAATCCTGTATACATTCACCCAGGAGTATGTCCCATTGAACTCAGTGAAACTTAACTTCTGAGAAAAGAGGTATAGAATTGCACTGTGAAAGAGACCTAGCTAGCCTGTGCACATCTTAATTATTGAAATCACCACCGTTAAAAGTTATTAATGATTTTAATTACTAAAATGCCAATAACTGAGTGATCTTGGTATGCTTGTCTTGTGGGAGATAGTATAGTGCACTTAAAACAAAAACAAAAACCTTTAAATGAAACATGTAGGGAGGAGAGGGGAGAAAGTTCCATTGCACAAGGGAAAATTCTCCTACTGATGGAACATTCACCTTAGCACTGTGTTGAATTCCTCCCGTAATGTCTTTTTTTCAGTTTAACATCTCATTTTAAACAGTGAGCTTGAGTGACTTAAGAATAAAGAGGCATTGAGACTTAAAAGGTAGGATTGGCTGGTGCCTGAGGCTCATGGGAGTTAGTGGTCACCAAAAGGTTAGTCATCCTGGTTTTAAGTAGTGAAATGTTTTTGCTTAAAAGAAATCAATAACTTTAACATTTCAGATGACCAAGAAGATAAAAAAACTGGAAAAAGAAATAATAGTTTGGCGCACAAAATGGGAAAACAACAACAAAGCTCTCTTGCAAATGGCTGAAGAAGTGAGTATTAGGTTTCATGATTAAAAATCCAATGTGCCTTATATATTATGCAGGTAGCCTGTTTTGTATAGCTTTGTAGAATGTGAAGTTGAATCAAAACCACCAGGTCTCCAACCCATCATTGGAAAGCAGACTGTACAAAAGCAGCTGAGAAAGGCTTTAGATTTTATTATGTTTGTGGATAAGCTTGTTGATGTCATGATCCATACAAATAATTGGGCTGTCTTGGTGAACAAATTTATTTTGAATAGATGTCTTCCATCATATTCTAAATACATTGGGCAGTGTATGCTGCTAAGTGATTTCACTAGTGCAGTTTAACTTGCCTTCCCTATGTACCCCCTGCACCCTTCTCAAATCTGCACCAAAGGGTTGGTGGGACCTCAGAACAGATTTAGGGGGTGCACAGAGGGAGGCGAAGTTCTGATTCACAGCCGAAAGTCCTTGCACTAGCAGAAGCTCTTCTGTACTGCCTGTTGTCTTTCTTTTTCTCTTGTGAAATAGTTACCAGTTATTTTTATACAAATCACTTTTATTAATATCTTCTGGTTAAACAAGGGAGGGCCCTGCTTAATGCTCCTAAACATATAATTTATTATCTTGTTTCTGAACATTTCAAGTATTTCTAGCATGCTCTTCATTGTAATGCAGGTTACAACAATATATAAATGAAAACCAACCAAACATGCAATCCTAAAATAAAAAGAGCAGATAATATTACAGCATCCGCAGCAACAAGAGGAATAATCAGAAACAGGTCACACAAATGTCATCATGTGCAATCTCTTGCTTGTTTTCTGCAGAAAACAGTGAAGGACAAAGAATACAAAGGCTTCCAAATAAAACTGGAGCGTTTGGAAAAGCTGTGCAGGGCTCTTCAAACAGAAAGGAATGAGCTGAATGAGAAGGTGGAAGTTCTTAAGGAACAGGTTTCTTTAAGAGAAACAGATGTTGATCTAGCTGTGCATGTGTTGCAGTCATGCACACTCAATTCGCATGAGGAACTGGGGAGTTCTACCAATGGAGCGCAAGAAGGAATTCAGCCAGATCCTGAATCATCAGTGGCAAATGAAGGCTCTGAAAAAACTGTTTGCCTGGCTTCCATTCCTACTGCAGATTTTGTTGACTAAAAGTGTAAACACTGTATTGAGAGATATATTTTGTGTATAACTTTAACTGGTGGTGGTAACTCTTAGTTTTGTGGTGAAAATTTTCTTACTTTTTCTACCATATCTGTATTTTCTTAGAACAGAACTTGCCTGGTACAGGAAGCTGCATAGCGGCTATTGAATAGCTTATCTATAAATTTTCCACAACTGTGTTGCACATCTGCCTCGTTTTTTAAAATAGAACTCATAAAGGATGCATGCAGATTCCTTCCTTCTGACCCCATAGCACACATCACCATGTCATCTAAGACTCGTGTACAGATTTAACATCATGTCAGGGGAACAACTGTGGCCAGAGTGTTGCAGACTCGGGGTTTGGGGGGGGGGGAGGGAATCGTTGCTTCTATTAAGTGAATTAAGGCTTAGTATTGAATTGTAATGACCAAATACTACAGTGAACTATAATTGGAGATGTGATGGCCAGTGGAAGCTCATTACTGGATTCATATATGAACAAAACTAAAAACTCTTACAGGGTTTAGTGTAGCTGCAGTCTTGCCTACAGCTTTGAAATCTATATAATTTTGCAACTGGAAAACAGGGTGTACAACTCACATATTTCTCAGGATTGTCCTGCACAGTCAATTCATAGACTGTTGCCTGACCTGTTAAAGTGAAGAAACAAGGGAAGAAAACAGGCACTTAAAAGTTTGTCCAATTAACCACCGACCAAAACTCAGATGCATTTTGAGCACACTTTTGCGTCATCCTGGAGATAAAACCTTAATAGTTAAAACCTACTGCCTACAAATGCATGTGTGTAGTTGTGGCTTGTCTGATAAAACAAAATGCAATGGGTTTTTGGTTTGTGGGTGCTAGGCAAAAGTACTTTTTTCTGCCATGATTTCTTCACTAGGTTTGGTGCCTAATTAGCATGAAATAATGAACAGCTACAAAGGTGTTCATCACTGAAAATGGGTGTAATGACCAATAACACTCCATCTGTTGGTCCCTTTAATAGACAGTACAGCAGACCACAATGCACATATTTGACTGGAAACATGTTCCCATGAAAACTTACTTGCCTATTTAACAAGGATAGGTCAGAGTATAGATAATACAGTTTGTCGTCTAGGGATGGAGGGGGGAATACTCTGATCTGTTTTCTCAACTATTGCTTTTTGTAAAATAAAAATGTATGACTAGATAAAACACACCTGTAAGCGAAAGTGCCTTCTGGTATCTATAGGTTACCTGGTAGATTTGGCACATCAGTTAACTAATATACAGCAAGCGAGGCTCCACTTTATTTCTGTTGCGTTTGTGGTTAGTGTTGTGAATGTAGATTGACCTGGAAAAGCCCAGATACTCCCATAATTTGGACTTGTGTTTCTTTGATTTATTTAAAAGACAGGGACCAATAGTGTTTTCTTTGTTAATGTTAGGCAGAGTGCTACTAGGTCAGAAGCTGCTGTTTAACTCTGCCTTGCAGTTAGTAGCTTTCTAGTTGCTGGTTGTTTTGAAAAATACAAATACTCCTATTTCTGGTATTTAATTTGGTTTCCATTTTTAAGAGATTTCTGACTCAAGCACATAATTGTTGGCAGGTTCTCTCCTTGCCTACCCATTCTCTCTGAGTTGCAGATTACTTGAATGTTCAGGCTATGTTGCTATGTGCTACCCTTTTCCTGATGAAATGTACAGAATGAAAATAGATGTCTTGAAAGGAAATAAAGGTTGGATCACACCTACTGAATGTTACCTAATACCATTGAGCAAAATCAAATTGGCATCTGCAGTGACCAAATTTGGAAACTGGCCAGTTAATATTCCTTATAAGGTGCATTTGCAGTTTTTCCTTTTCTTTTTTGGTATGCATTTCAAGTACAGTAAAAGAAAGCAAAGCTGGTGGGAGGTTTTATAGTGAGGAAGGGTAGAATGAGCTTTGTCCGTCATAACCATTTGATTGTAATTGATTCTGGAGAGAAATTTTCTGATGTTTCCTTTAAAAAACAAAACAAAAAACCTTGTCCAATACTTTAAAGCATATATGTGTAAGCAAAGACGTCATAGTAAATAATTTGAAACTGAATGCAATTTTGAAGGACCAAACTGCAGTGTATCTGAACCATCCCACCCCACCAACCCAATGTATGTGGTTGCCTTGCATGTAGCCAGGATTGGTGTAACGTTTGCTTTCTTTAGAGAAGAGTAGACTTTCGGTCCCGGTGCATTAAAAATTGCTTCCACGTTATAGCTAAAAACACCCTAAGGATTGTGGCCACTAATACTTAAAAGTAATTGAATTGAATTGACTATTCTTTCTGGTTCCTGTCTTTTCTAAGTGTAGAACTAAATTTTGTTTCCTGAAATCTTGACATTCCATACATTGACCAGTGAGAGGGCCAGCATGGGATAAGCGCAGTCCTTGTCTGATCTGGAATTGCACTGCTGTTCTCCAGCTCTTTTTTCCAATGTACTTCCACCTGTACAACCCATGCTTACCACTGGCAGCTGCTTTAATGTGCGAATTCCAGTAATCATGTGCTAAATTTAAGGCTGTTCCTTGTACCGTCCATCTCTTTATACCTTTTGCAATGATGCGTACAGTGTAGGGGGGGGGGAGTGCACTGTTATTCCTATTGCATAACCGGTGGTTCAAATCTGCCGATTAAGCCCTAGAATCTTAAACTATTCTCACACAGGACCCTCAAAGCCAACACTCTTTTTCATTTGTAATTCTTAAGTGCATTTGAATACATGCTTGGGGGCTGTATCTTTCCAATCCGTTCTCTCTCTATTACACCTGGTTATGTTACCGTTCAGTTCTCAGGTGTTGCAGAAAATCTACCTCTTCAGACTGTAGATGGAAATAACTGTGAAAAGTGATGCAGATATTTAGTTTGTGCCGAACACTCTGCTTTATTTTTACAACCCATACCTGCTTTCATGAAAAAGAAATGCTGAATAAAATAGCCAGTCTTGTTTTTGCTTTTCAAGAACATTTTGTAGAGATTTTTCACTAATGTGAATCTGAAATTTTATCTACTCAGTTCTGTATAAATTAAGTAAATATGTGTGCTTAATATACTAGGCTATGTGTCTTATTTTTTTTAGAGTTCTCAAGTAAATTTCGCTTTTCTGGCTGTAGGTCTTGTCCGTAGATGTGTGGTGTTCACTGTACGTATTATTAAGTGAACTGTAAACATGCAGTTTTGCACTTCCATAGCTATCCTAAGGATTCAGAATTGAAAGCAAAGCCCTTCCATCAGTGTATCTAAATGTTAAAACACCATAGCTGTCTTAAACATTCCTTTAATAATGGGATGGAAAACTCCATTCGATTTCCGTCAGTAGTGCATCAAAAGAGTTTACCAGCACCATCTAGTGGCAAAAGACAAGAGTCTTAACAAGCATCTATTATGGGTGTATGTCTTACACAAAACTGAGGACAACAATCCCTTTAATTATTTATCGAACTTGTGGTCTGTACTATTTCTTCCATCTCAACTAATAAATTGACGCAAAATTCTCTCTTTATAAATCGAAAAGGAAGAAGTTTAGGATAGAAGGTGTCAAGATGTCATTCTAACATTCATTTTTGTTTTACCACTCACTGTCACTGGCTACAGTGTGAACAAGCAGTATTTTGCCCAATAGTTTTCCCTCTGTCCTTTACAGGGTCAATTTGATTTAATGAACCAAACAGTGCTTCGTATTAAGGTGCCTAATGTGTATTTTCACACACATACACACACACACACACACCCAAGTTGTGCCAGGTGCTTTTTTCACGATTACGAAAAATAAAATATTTCTCTCTACATTAATGTGCAGCTGGTGTTTTGGGAATACCTGTTTTGCTAAGTGACCTTATGAGAAAGCATCCCAGTCACACTACTGTTAGGCATAGAATCATAGAATCATAGAGTTGGAAGAGACCACAAGGGCCATCGAGTCCAACCCCCTGCCAAGCAGGAAACACCATCAGAGCACTCCTGATATATGGTTGTCAAGCCTCTGCTTAAAGACCTCCAAAGAAGGAGACTCCACCACACTCCTTGGCAGCAAATTCCACTGTCGAACAGCTCTTACTGTCAGGAAGTTCTTCCTAATGTTTAGGTGGAATCTTCTTTCTTGTAGTTTGGATCCATTGCTCCGTGTCCGCTTCTCTGGAGCAGCAGAAAACAACTTTTCCCCCTCCTCTATGTGACATCCTTTTATATATTTGAACATGGCTATCATATCACCCCTTAACCTCCTCTTCTCCAGGCTAAACATGCCCAGCTCCCTTAGCCGTTCCTCATAAGGCATCGTTTCCAGGCCTTTGACCATTTTGGTTGCCCTCCTCTGGACACGTTCCAGTTTGTCAGTGTCCTTCTTGAACTGTGGTGCCCAGAACTGGACACAGTACTCCAGGTGAGGTCTGACCAGAGCAGAATACAGTGGCACTATTACTTCCCTTGATCTAGATGCTATACTCCTATTGATGCAGCCCAGAATTGCATTGGCTTTTTTAGCTGCCGCGTCACACTGTTGGCTCATGTCAAGTTTGTGGTCAACCAAGACTCCTAGATCCTTTTCACATGTACTGCTCTCAAGCCAGGTGTCACCCATCTTGTATTTGTGCCTCTCATTTTTTTTGCCCAAGTGCAATACTTTACATTTCTCCCTGTTAAAATTCATCTTGTTTGTTTTGGCCCAGTTCTCTAATCTGTCAAGGTCGTTTTGAAGTGTGATCCTGTCCTCTGGGGTGTTAGCCACCCCTCCCAGTTTGGTGTCATCTGCAAATTTGATCAGGATGCCCTTGAGTCCATCATCCAAGTCGTTGATAAAGATGTTGAATAAGACCGGGCCCAAGACAGAACCCTGTGGCACCCCACTAGTCACTCTTCTCCAGGATGAATAGGAACCATTGATGAGCACCCTTTGGGTTCAGTCAGTCAGCCAGTTACAAATCCACTGAGTGGTAGCATAGTCAAGTCCGCATTTTACCAGCTTCTTTACAAGAATATCATGGGGCACCTTGTCAAATGCCGGTAGGCTACATCCACTGCGTTCCCTTCATCTACCAGGCTTGTAATTCTGTCAAAAAACGAGATCAGGTTAGTCTGACATGACTTATTTTTCAGAAATCCATGCTGACTATTGGTGATCACAGCATTCCTTTCTAGGTGCTCACAGACTGTTTGCTTAATGATCTGCTCCAGAATCTTCCCTGGTATTGATGTCAGACTGACTGGGCGGTAATTATTTGGGTCCTCTCTTTTCCCCTTTTTGAAAATAGGTACAACATTTGCCCTCCTCCAGTCTGCCAGGACTTCGCCTGTTCTCCAGGAATTCTCAAAGATGACTGCCAGTGGTTCTGAGATCACATCTGCCAGTTCTTTTAATACTCTTGGATGCAGTTCATCTGGCCCTGGAGACTTGAATACATCTAGACTAGCCAAGTATTCTTGTACTATCTCCTTAGTTATTCTGGGCTGTGTTTCCTCTGCTGAATCATTTGCTCCAAATTCTTCAGGTCGGGCATTGTTTTCTTTATCGGAGAAGACTGAGGCAAAGAAGGCATTGAGGAGTTCAGCCCTTTCTGTGTCCCCTGTTTGCATTTCACCATCTTCTCCTCTGAGTGACCCCACTGTTTCTTTGTTCTTCCTTTTGCTACGAACATACCCATAAAAGCCTTTTTTGTTGCTTTTAACCTCTCTAGCAAGCCTGAGTTCATTCTGTGCTTTAGCTTTTCTGACTTTGTGTCTACACGTGCTGGCTATTTGTTTGAATTCCTCTTTGGTGGTTTCCCCCCTTTTCCATTTTTTGTACACATCCTTTTTTAATCTTAACTCAGTTAAAAGTTCTTTAGATAGCCACCCTGGCTTCTTTAGGCACCTTCCATGTTTCCGTCTCATTGGTATTGCCTGAAGTTGTGCTTTTACTATCTCCCTCTTAACAAACTTCATGCCTGAGAGGAGATATGATAGCCATCTTCAAATATCCCAAGGGCTGTCACATGGAAGAGGGAACATGTTTGTTTTCTCCTGCTCTGGAGGGTAGGACTCGAAACAATGGCTTCAAGTTTCTGACTAAATGTTCGAAAAAACTTTCTGACAGTAAGAGCTGTTCAGCAGTGGAACAGACAAGAGGTGATGGACTCTCCTTCCTTTGAGGGTTTTAAGCAGAGGTTGGATGGCCATCTGTCATGGATGTTTTAGCTAAGATTCCTGTAGTGCTGGGGGTTGGACTAGATAGCCCTTGGGTCCCTTCCAACTCTACAGTTCTATGATTCTATGTAAATTTCCCTGACTCTCTTGTATCATTTGCTGCCGCGAAAAGAGCTACAAAGTCTGACAATTAGGGACAGCTCTTCCACAAGAAGCATGACCTTGCTACACATTGTTCTAGTTCAAGCCACAAAAGGTAAATTCTGTGGTAAGGTAAAGGTAAAGATAAATGACCCCTGGACAGTTAAATCCAGTCAAAGGTGACTATGGAAACATTAGCAAATAGTGTTTTCAGTCAATTGAAAACCCAGAAAGTGTCAAGGTGTGTTGTCTTCTGTTGTCTTTCATGATGAAAGGTGCGAGGTAATCTCTCTGGGCTTGTGGGGTCTACGCAACTGGGCTTTCATAGTTAAAAACATAAGAAGAGCCTGCTGCATCAGGACAATGGCCCATCTAGCTAAGCATCCTTTTCTCACAGTGGCCGACCAGAGGCCTCTCGGAGGTTCGCAAGCAGAATTTGAGCACAAGAGCACTCCAGCTTCCTGTGGTAGAAACTGATATTACTGCCTCCAACTGCGGAGTAGCCATCAATAGCCCTCACCTCCATGAATTTGTCTACTCCTCTTTTAAAGTCATATGTAGGGTAGTTGAAGTCACCCATTACTCTAATGTCTCCTCTTTTGGGTGCTTCCTTGACTTCATTCTTCATCTCAAGATCTCCCTGAGCATTTTGATCAAGGGAATGATAGCAAGCTGCTAGTACAAAATGATAAAATTACCCACAATGATTATGTGGGGAAGGTTGCCCCTTTGGGGATTTCTAGCTTGCTAGACTCCAAGCTTTCTTTGACATACAAAGTTCAAAGCTGAGACCTTGAAATAGATGATCCGGCTGACCAGAGAATTATGCTATGTAGGGGGGAATGGGCTTGATCCTATGTCTTTCCCCCAGGCACAGGAGTTGAGCATGAGAGAACACTTAACAGTAGCTTGCTGGTGCTTTGGAATCTGAAATATTCTTACTCGAAGGCATTTCAGCTATTTCCCTAGCTCTAAGTGTTTTGCTAAGACGAATTGGGCAGTTCAAGTACCCTTGAACCAGGATTATGATATATCTTGTTAATCGCTATTGTTAATCCATCAGTTTCCCCTAGTTCTTTCAAATGAACAAATCTATTGCACAAAAACAAGTTTCTTTTTGTACTGGATTAATTCATTATCTTTGGTTTCTTCAATTATTTTCTCAAAATGCCATTCTAATAGAATTGAAAGCGCTACAAAAAAATTGCCACCTTTTAAAAAAGACATTACATTTGTTAACTAATACCAACCTATATTTCAGAGAGACATTTTTAATAATTGGGTTGTTTTAAAAAATGCCTTCTCTACTTGAAAAGTCTCCTTTTGTGGATTTATATTCAGTGGTTCTCAAGGGGCAGAAAACCTCAATAGTAAAGTCTAAGGTGAGAAGAATGCCATCAGGTTTGCATTACTGTCTGAATAACTTTAAATATGCAAAGTTTCTTCCTTCTGCTTTGTCTGCATGTTGATCAGTATTTAGCTGTAGTACGCACAAATATGAGGGCATTCAGTTGTTATATTTCAGCTGGTGAGTAGGCGTTAGATCCTGCTGCTTTGACTGCACATGCCAGTTCCTTTTGCAGAACCAGCAGGAGCAGCCAACACAGAATTGAACTCCACCCATCACCCCAAATTGCCCAGCGATGTCAGCCAATGGACAAGGTTTGGGGGAAATGGCCTCACTGGCTGCATTGGATCCACTGGTAGGCCAGCATTAGCCCATGGGTTGTAGGTTCCCCACCCCTGATTTACACATATGATAAAATAAATCCACACTCTTTTCTTTCCA